CCCCAAAACCCCAAAACCCCAAAACCCCATGAGGATACATTATTTTTAATTGGCAATTTTTCTCTGATTTTTATAATATATTTGTTTGAATATCAAAATGAACGAATCAGATTTAGTTGCTTAAAGATTGCTAATATTCTTGGAATAATCTAAAGAAGAATTCCTGCAACACTCAGTGCCAGCCAATCTAATTCATTAATAAACCAGTCTTGTACGGTAATATACATAAAACCCTAATAAGGATTTAGTTGAGGTTATCATAATCATATGAAAATCAGCCTCATGAGTAATTTATGAAAATTAAAGACAAATTTTTGAAGTCTGATTTAATTATTAAGGAAAAAGAACTTGAGTTGAAATTTTCCAAGAGTTAAATAGAGCACTTAAAAATCTAATCTGAGGAAGCCATTAATGACTAGAAAGAAAAATATTAGTAAGAAGCTGAAGAAATAAAAAGATAAATGGTGGAAAAATTGGAAAAATCTCTTAATACAATTGAAAATCTTATTAAAGATAAATCAGTTTTGCAAGGTAAAGTTGAAGACTAACATAGCAAGATCAAAACACTTCAGTAAACAAATGAAAAAATAAAACTAGAAATGCAAGAAACATACTTTAGGGATCTTAAGAAAGAAAAGGAGCAATGGTAAGTTCAGGAAAAAATAAGGAAAGAAAAATGGGAACAAGAAAAAAGGTAGGAGATAAAATAGGGGACTTTTTAGTAATTATAGCCTACTATTTAGAGTATATTGGATAAGAATAAGGAAGATATGAGAAATTTATAGGAATAGCAATAAGAAGAATTAAAACAGTAAAGAGATATCATTTGCTCCGAATATGAGAAAAAAATAGAGCAACTTCGTTTGAAATACATTGAGGAAAAAGAGGAATCTCTATTGAAATTGAGATAGCGTCAATAAGAGTAGCTTCAAGCCTAATTTGAATAATTCTAGTATCAATTTGAAGAAGAAAGAAAAAGACTCAGGGAATCATAGTTCATAGGATTATTAAATAATAGAGAAGAAGAATTCAAATAATTATAAATAGGCCTTGAAATATAGAAATCTAAGTGGAGTGAAGAAAAATTAAGTCTATTGAGGGGCTTTAAAGAGAGAGAATCGGGATATTTGAAAAATATATAGGAGCTAAAAGATTAGTTATCATAAATAAAGTTGTTGCACACAAAAAATGTTCTCTAATTTGAGTTATCTATTATTGAAGAATAGATTTTCATAGACAAGGATTATGATATTTAAGTAATTCAAGAAGATAAGAAAGAGATCCAAAAACTAAGATTGTAAGTCAGTCTTCAGAAGTAACAGCTTTTAAAATCAGAGTAAGATATAGAATCGCTATTTGTAAAGATTAAGAGACTGGAATAGATTGTTTCAGATAAGGACAGCATAATTCAAGAATAAGATATGGAGTCTAAGGTTAAGCTTTATCAGTTAAGTGAGCTTTTTAAAAAATAGAACTTGATGAATTAGGATATTGAATTAAAGCTAAGATAGGAGTTAGTATAAACTAAGAAAACTAAAGATAAAAAGATCAAATCTACACCCAAATAAAAATGACTTCAATATCAATTCAATAAAATATAATTTAATTTCTTGATTTCATAAATTCTTGTGATAACAAAAGCATGGGGTTTTGGGGTTTTGGGGTTTTCTTAGTTTATA